GGACTAGTTTATGAACCACAATAAAAAAGTGTTTGTGGAAGCAGGTTTTAAACAAAGTGTTACAGAAATTTAAGGAATCATTTCTTTGTAAATAACAAAGCTTCCTATCTACCTTTTGAATGTATCTGGCCATAGGAATTACCAGATCCATTTTAAGAAACATGCCAGTAGAGAGTAAAAGTTTACCAGAATAATCTACTCATGTTGTCAAATCTAAGTTTTACGACGTACTGCTCTACTGTTCAGTCTACGCACACGTTCCCCCTGGAACACCCACACACTCACAACTGCCAAAGGCAAATGGCTTGAGAGCAATGAATTCACACTCTCATTTAAATGTACACATTAAACAAATAAGAAGCGTCTTCAACCAGAGCCTCCTAATTTCTCATTATTAGGATTAGGGATGGGGGGGTGGCCAGGAGAAACCCACAGCTCTGTCGGCTGAAAGTGGCAAGTCTGGTAGAGGCCCTAAGGGGGGAATACAGTTCTTCTATCTTGAGCTTGTGTTCTGACTCAGGTGAGTGGTGGAGCAGCCAGCAACGTGAAGGGGAGATCCTGGAAATGAGAGAATCACAGAGGAGCTAGATAGATACGCTCTCCTCACACCTGTGGCCAATGGTGAAACTACAACCCCAAGGAGGGGACACATGAGAGAGCCCAACAGAGAGAAAAGGCCAAGCAGACCTGAGAGCTGGCTGAACTCTGAACTCTTCCCAACTCTTCCCAACCCACAAACAGATGAATTGACAGAGGGTGGAAGCTTTACAAGTTCAAGGTGCTTAAATACAACCTCTGCCCAAATCCCTGGCTGACCACGAGCTATGGAGACACAGGGTTAACGCCTGGCCAGGCTAGAAAGTAAAAACAAGAGGGGAAAAATCACTAAGATTTTGTGCAGAAACAGCAGTGGCTGCACACCGTTGAGAAGTCACAGTCCACAGTTTAAGTCAAGCAAATCACTTGAAATATACACATATACACACACCTATACCTCTAAAAAAATACCAACACTTCAGAGTTGCTGAAATATATTATTAAAATGTCCAGGTTATTAAAAAAGTTACAATACCTACAAGGAAACAGGAGAGTTTGGCCCAGACTCGAGATAAGAAATGGACCCTTGAGTGGGTCTGGATGTTGGACTCAGCAGGTGACTTTTAAGTGGCAATTACACATGTATTCAAAGAATGAAGGAAATATGATGACAAGGAATCTCAACAGAGGAACAAATCACAAATGAGAATTCTAGAGTTGGAACGCACAGTAACTGAAATAAAAAATTCACGAGATGGGGTCACAAGCTGATGCAATGTGGCAGAACAAGAGTGAGTGGACTGGAAGAGACGTCAACAGAAATTCTCCGCTCGTGAACAGAAAGACAAAACATCAAAGAAAAATGAACAGAACTTTAGATTCTGTTTCGATTGAACTCAGAGACAAATAAACAAAAAAACCAGAACTTGAACCTGTGGGTGACTGACATCAAGTTCCCAACATATTTGTGGTGAAAGTCCCAGGAAGAGAGGAGAAAGAGAAAAAACAAATAGTTGAAGAAACTGTGTTCAAAAACTTGCCAAATATGATAAAAAAATATCAATCTACAGACCCAATCTCAATAGATTCCAAGTTTGATAAAAACGAAGAGATCCACATGAGAGTCAAACTGCTCAAAGCCAAAGATACACTGAAAATCTTGAAAGTAGCAAGAGAAAAGCAATTCATCACAGAAAGGGGAACAGAGGATGAATGGTGGACTCCTCAGAACCAGCTGGCTCTGGTCAGAGGCCAGAGGGCAGTGGGGTGACAGGTTTAAAGTGCTGGGAAGCAGTGAAAAAACAGTCAATGAAGAATTCTACAGCGAGCAGAACTAGCCTTCAAAAGTGAAGACAAACTGAAGACATTCCTAGATACACAAAAACAGAGAAATTTGTTTCAAACAGACCTAGTCTACAGGAAACACTGAAAGACGTCCTAGGGGTTGAAAGGAAATGGTATCAGAATACCACTCAAATCCACAGGAAGATTCGAAGATTACCGAAAATGGTAACTTCCTTTGAGAATATAAGATTCTTTAAAGTAATAATTACAAACACTGTGTTGTTGCATTTCTAATGTATATTTGTCTCCATCAATACTTATCCATTTTGTCTGATATTAATATAATCACTTCAGGTCTCTTATGATTACTATTTGTATGACATCTTTTTCCTTCATTTCGTCTCAAACTCTTTGAATCTAAAGGGTGTCCCTGGTAAAAAGCATACAACTGGAGCTTTTACATGTATAATGCAGACGACAGTAACAGTACAAAGGATGGTGAGGAACGAAGCTATATTACACCAAAGTTCTAATATTTTACCAGAATAAGACACACACACAGGTGTGCACCGGTGAGTAAGTGAGCGAGTGCACACATCAGTAAGTTATAAGCTGAAGATGTAATCCTTGACCAAGAACTAAGAAAATATAAAAATAACAACACAAATAACTAATTAAAAAATCACAAAGGGATTTAAAAGGTACAGTTAAGAATTATTTAACAGAAATCAGCAGAGAAGGAACAGAGGAACAATAAAAGATCAGAGACGTAGAACAAGCAGTTACACGGCAGACGTAAATCTACCCATATCAACAATTACTTAAAGTGTCAACAGACTAAATGCTCCGATAAAAGGCAGTCATTTTCAGATGCGTTAAAGATTCAGTTTTTTTTGTTTTGTTTTGTTTTTTAACCAGAGATACATCTTAGATTTTAAGAGTTTGAGACAAAGATGAAGGAAAAAGATGTCATACAAATAGTAATGACAGGACAGCTGAAGTGACTGAATTAATATCAGACAAAACAGACTGAAGAAATAATGACAGAGACAGAGGAACATTTTATAATGAGAAAACACCAATTGGTTAGGAAAAGTCTGTAGGAAAGACCATCTACTAAGCCTCCAAACAAGTCTCAATTTTTAAAAAATTGAATCATACAAAGTATGTTTTCTCTCTACAATGTGATTAAATTATAAATCAAGAAAAGAAAGCTGGGAAATCCTCAAACATTTGGGAATTAAGAAACATATCTACGTCACCCAGACCAAAGAAGAAATCATAAGGAGAAACTGTAAAATACCTTGAATGAAAACTAACATACAATGTATCACATTTTATGGGAAACTTAAAGGGAAGGTATAGCTTTAAACACGTATCAAAAAGGAAAAAAAAAATCTAAAAATCAATGATTTAAAGCTACAACTCAAGAGGCTAAAAAATAAACAAAGACCAAATCAAAGTCAAAGCTAGTAGAAGGAAGGAAATAATAAAGATCAAAATGGAAATCAATGAAATATAAAACAGAAAAACAACAGTTTTTTTAAAAAAATCCATGAAATCAAAAGCTGGTTTTCTGAAAAAGATCTGCAAAATTAATAAAACTTAGCTAGACTGACCAAGAAAAAAAGCAAGAAGGCACAATTACCAAAATCAAGAATAAAAGAGGGGCTATCACTAAAGATGCTATAGAAATTAAAAAGGATTACATGGGATTATTATTATAAATAACTTTGTGCCAACAAAATAGACAATTTAGTTGGAAAAGAAAAATTCCTAGAAAGTCACAAATTACCAAGATTGATTTTATATGAAACTGAAAGTAGAAATAAAAATAGGAAAAGGACAGATAACTAGTAAAGAAACAGACTTAGTAATTAAAATACTTGATAAAGCCTCAGATTTCTATTTTATTCCTTCTTTGCCCAGTTGTTCTGGTAAGACTGTGAGTCCATAATCATTTGAATGATTTGGAAATGCAGCCAAGATAGCAGCCGATATATTCATGATTCTAGAACAAATGCTATAGAATCCTCATCTGTTACCCATCATGCTTCCATCTTCCTAATAAATTGTCTACTGTAGCCCATTACTTACGAAGTATAAAATTATGTGCTTATGTATAACTGATCAACACGGAAAAGATAACATGTTTGCAAGGAAAGAATGAATTTCTTTGTGGTCTGGTATCTAACAAAAGAAAATGGAAAGTATTTGAAGGTTAAATCCATCCTTATGCAACAAAAGCTTCCACTGTAAGGCTCTTTATTGGGAAGTAAATCATATCAAGTGGTTTAAAGGCTGAATAAAGCTCTCCTGATAATCTGAAACAGGAAGGGCAAAAAGAAATCTAAAAACCAGACACAGATCTTTCTATCCAGAGTATAGAACATTTTAATCTTTGGAGAAAGACCAGCAATCTCACAGACAATATGACTTCCTGTGTATTGACATATATGTGATATATACCTACTGGATGATTTTTAACATTTCTTTTACTTTAGCAGGTTACTAGCGGGGGTCATGATCTCAGGGGTGTCTGTGTTGGGTTCTGTGCTCAGCAGGGAGTCTGCTTGAGATTCTCTCTCTCCCTCTTCCTCTGCCCTTACCCCCACTCCTGAGAGCTCTCTCCCAAATAAACAAATCTTGTGAATAAATAAATAAATAAAAACTTAAAAACATTTAAAAAACAAAAACCGAACAGACAGGAACCAGCAAAGGGGACTAAAAGAGAACTGCCAGTACACAGGAGGGAAACAGGGAGTGTCCAAGAGCAAGAGACGGAGTATGCCAAGGAGGAGAGAGGAGGCAACGTGTGGGACGCTGCTGAGAGACTGTGTACCATGACAACACAGGAAGGACCAACAAGGTGTGGCGAAACGAAGCTTCCTGGTGAAACTGACCTAAGTGTGCCCTCGAGGCAGCGCTCACCTTGTGCTGGCTGTCCTGTCTCTAGACCCTAAGCTCCTGGGCAGTGACTGCGAGCTCACATTTGAGCCCTTAACTTCTAATTTCAACACGGTGCGGGGTTGGGGGCGGGGGGATGAAATTACATAAATGCTACGTAGTGTCATGTAGATGCCAGAGGAGTTCAAAGGGCTTTCTGGTGTGATGATTCAGGAGAGGACTGCGGTATGACGGCAGGCGCTCTTCCACGTCCCACCTCGCAGGTCACATACCGTGAGAGATCCGTTTTGTGTGCTGGGTGAGTTGCTACTCTGCTCCCCGTGGGCTTGCGTGCTTCCATAGAGTGTCAGGTTATGCTCACTGGTCTGGCCGGCATAGTCCTGAGTGTGTGGCACTCCATATTCTGTGGGAATTCCATTCTGTGGAGGTGGTGGAAACGGGATGGTAGTAAAAGGCTGAACCATTGCGTCAGGAGTTGTTGTTGGCTCCTGGTTACCCTAAAACAAATAGTGGAAGAGAAAATAAGGAGAAAAAAGTGACTTTAGTTCTTGTGACATGACTATTTTTAAGGTGAGCATACAAAATTCTCTGAATACTCTCTTTGCTCCAGAAAAATGGAAGGCTTACTGCCTCAGAACTGGGGCAAACACTGCCAGGCATAGAGATGTACGCACACAGCCACACAAACATACACCCAACTTGGGCCAATCTGTGGTTCTTAAACAGGTCCATGACCATATTAAAGTTGATTAGTTACCGAAGAGATAAAAAATTTCCTTTAACCCAAGTTTTTAAAAAATGCATGCCAGGAAATTTCTCACACAAGAAGAGTTTTAAGAGTCGAAATTAATTTGGGCCATTAGTATTTTCTTTAGGACACTATCCCTTTATAGAGATTCAGGGAAAAATAAAGCGATTTCATCAAATTACAATTCATAACAACATGGTAGGGTGACATTAGAAATTAAGTTCTCAAAACAGGACAACCTAGCTCTCTAGATTTTAAGAGCACAGAGTTCAGAAGAAACTTCATTATTAAAAAATTAATGTTTGGATTTCAAGAGAGAGATTTATTTAAGTCTCGGCTACTAGTTAATAGTTAAAAAAAATAGGTTCCTTAAATTACAAATATTAGAGATACACCAAAAAAAAAAAAAAAAAAAAATCCCCAGATAAAAAAGTTCAAGGTTCTTCACAATCCCTATGAGTTTTATAAGGCTAACAGCACAGCAGGACACCTCTCCATGTGATAACCATTCCCAGATGCTTACCTGGAATCCACTGTGATATGTGAAATACCAACAGAGAGTATCCAGGAACTATAGGGAACTGTTAGAAGGAGCCATTGTGGCTCAAAGCCCCTTTCTCACTTCTGTCCTAAGTTCAGATACGAGAGTTTGAATCTTGCACCCGCCCCCCCCGCCCAGCCTTCCATTTTATTCCAGAAAAAGCAAAGCCATTATTTTACTGAAGATACACAAGTCTGCAAAGTCTTGGGTCGCTGTACTTCTGTAAGTAGTTTGCAGAGATGGATAAATGCTTCAAACTGTCAGCACTTTGATAGGTGCCCCCCCACCCCTAGGTTTAGACATCAAATCATTAGGTAATCAAAGAAAATCTGGGTTTATGTCACTTGGTTTCCTTCTACCCGTGAGCATCACTCCCATCAGGCAAGGGAGCAATAATTCCTCTTTCTCTCCCAGTCCCAATTATCCTTCTTTCCCCTCAGTTCAAGAGGGGGTTTTCTATCCACTGAGAGCTACAGGAAACGGAATGTTAGGCAGCATTTTCTAAACATCATCCTAGGCTTTCAACACTATCGTGAAGGCCATTAAACTCATATATATCGCAAACAAAATGAATCCAAAGCCCCAGAAAGATCTCACACAATTTTTAAAGAAAGGTTCTGCCATCATTGTACAATAAGTTCTTCTACATAAAATGAAACAGAACAACTGTACAAAGGCTGTTATGAATGGAGAAATACATGATCATGGACTGGAAAGCTAGGTTTGTTTCTTTTTTTAAAGATTTATTTATTTATTTATTGACAGACAGAGATCATAAGTAGGCAGAGAGGCAGGCAGAGAGAGAGAGAGAGGAAGAAGAAGGCTCCCCGCTGAGCAGAGAGCCCACTGCAGGGCTCGATCCCAGGACCCTGAGATCATGACCTGAGCCGAAGGCAGAGGCTTTAACCCACTGAGCCACCCAGGTGCCCCGAAAGCTAGGCATTCCTAAGACAGCCACACACCCCAAATCCCACACACTCAATCAAAATCTCTGATATTTTTGCAGAAACTGACAAGGTGTTACTAAAATTTAAGTGGAAATGCAAACAGCCTAGAAAAGGCAAAGCAATTCTGAAAAAGAACACAAACTGGACTTATACTACCTGATTTCAAGACTTATTGCAAAGCTGCAGTAATCACAACAGTATGGCACGAGCTTAAAGACAGACAAATCAATCAACCAATCAGCAGAAAAGAATCCAGACAGACACATACATATACAGTCAGTATTAAGTCATCAAAGTCAGTTCAGGAGGAGAAAGGAAAGCCCTTTTAACAAATAAAAAAAAAAAACGAATACCCAGTGGGAAAAAAATTAACCTCAACTCATCCCACATACGCAAAAGTTAACTGGAAAGAGGTAACAGACCTAAATATAAGAGCGTTTTAAAACTCTAAAACATCCAGAAAAAAAAAAAAAAAAAGAGGACAATTGTCACAATATTACAATAAACAAAGAACTCTTTAGTCATAACAAACAAGAACAACTGAAGAAAAAAGTAGGGGCGCCTGGGTGGCTCCGTGGGTTAAAGCCTCTGCTTTCTGCTCAGGTCATGATCCCGGGGTCCTGGGATGGAGCCCCGCATCAGGCTCTCTGCTCAGCGGGGAGCCTGCTTCCTCCTCTCTCTGCCTGCCTCTCTGCCTACTTGTGATCTCTGTCTGTCAAATAAATAAAATCTTTAAAAAAAATTTTTTTGAAGAAAAAAGCTGATAAACCAAACTCCATCAAAATTTAAAAATTTCATACTCTTTGAAAGGTACCACTAAGATAATGGAAAGACAAGATGGAGACTGGGAGGCAGCATTCACCGTACACATACCTGGCAAAGAACACACATCCAGAATCTACAAAGAACTGTTACAAATCATAATGAAAAGAGCAAAGGATTTTTTTTTTTTTAAGATGGGTCAATGACTTCAATAGACAAACTCCCACAAACAGATATGTCAATGGGCAGAAAATAACTGAATGTGTGGCTCAACATTAGTTATCAGGGGTAGGAAATTAAAACCAAACAAGCTACCATTTTGCCCCCATTAAAAGGGCCACAAGACTGAAAACTCCGAATGTTGACCAGGATGTGGAACAAGAACTTTCACGCACTGCTTGTCAAAGTGTAAAACAGTATATCATGATAGAACTGTTCTGCAGTTCTACTTTTTTATACAGTTTGAATACTCCTTATATTCACCCCAAAGAAATAAAAGCATATGTGTACAAAAACACTTGTGCAAGTATGTTCATGGAAGCTTTATTCATAATAGCCCCAAACTGAAAATGACTGTACTGAAACCAACAGGAAAATGGATAAACAAATTGTGGTTTATTCACAAAATGGAATGTTACATAGCTTTAAAAAAAAAAAAAAAGAATAAACCACCAACAGCATAGATGAATCTTAAAGATGTGCTGAATGAGATACAAATCTACTGTAACAGAAGTGAAGAAAGTAGTGGGTTTTTTGTGGGGGGGCAGGGAGTGATGATGGAGATCTGGAACATTCTAGGACGGAACACTCTAGGATGACAGAAATGTTAAATTACTTAAGGATGATGGTACCAAATTGTTAAAATTCATTAAGCCAAACACTTGATAAATATGTCACTACATGTTAATTATAACAAAGGAAAAATAAGGCTATAACTGGCAAACATCATATTAAACTGTGAAGTACCTGTCATCATTATAAATCACTGTCCCTATGACTCATTCTACACAAAGTAAGGTGACAAACCTGAAATGGAGATAAAGAGAACACAGAGACAACTGTAGCTAAGTACTTAGAAAAGCCCACAAAACTAACTACAAATGAGTAGACCCAACAATAAAATTTTGTCATATTTGTACACTAACTATTTTATAGCCAGCAGTAATCAGTTATTCAAAAGGGAAAGAAAATGTACAGGATAAAACACACGATGTAGGATACAAAACAAGGCCTGAATAAACAGAGACGTGTTTTGTTTCTGGAGTAACGCTTCATATAGAAATGTTAATCCTTGTTAAAATAAAATGTACACCTAATGTCATTTTTTAAGACTTTATTTAGAGAATATGTGAGGGGGGATAGAGGGGGAGGGAGAGAGAATCTGAAGCAGATGCCCTGCTGAGCGCGGAGCCTGCCATGGGGCTCGGTCTCATGACTCCAAGATCAGGACCTGAGCAGAAACCAGGAGTCTGATGCTCAAACACTGAGCTACCCTGGGTTCTCTACCTAATGTCGTTTCCAATCGGAAACAAACAGAGCGTTGAGGAAGAAAACAGGACTAAACAGAATTCTAACTGGGATGTGAAAAACTACTATGGAAGTCTGGAAAGGAGAAAAGCTATGAAGTAGGGCACGCTCTATCATACAGTAAGACTTGCCATAGAGCTACTGTGACAAAACACTAAGAGTATACACAGTGATCACAGAACACTGATTATCCTAAAACAGTTTCAAGTTTATACAGAAAATTAATAGAAGATAAAAGTTGCATTTCACTTCATGGGGAAAAATTGTTTATTTACCACAGAGGATTTGTAAAAGTTGGCTACCCACCAGCAAGAAAATAAATGAGCCCCTTCACAGTGTATACTCTGTATGAGAAAAATTCAAGAAGGAATAAAGTCCAAAGATTTTATTTATTTATTTGATAGAAAGAGAGAGAGAGCACAAAGAAAGAGAGGCAGAGAGCCCGATGCAGAACTCGATTCCAGGACCCTGGGATCATGACCTGAGCTGAGGGTAGACGCTTAACGACTGAGCCACCCAGACACCCCAGGAATAAAATCTAAGAGAACAATGAAAACTATGAAAATATAACAAAACCTAGGAGTATAACTGGGGTTGGGGGACTCACATAAGATAGCAAGGTAGGAAACCTAAAAACGAGGAAGGACAAAAAGGACTGACATGGCCGCAGAAGTCGGGGGCGGGGGGAATGGAAGGCAAAGGAAGGGGGGAGGGACTGGCCTTTAAAGTCAAAAGAAAAACCAACTGGGGCAACGAATTGCAACAGATTAAGACAGACATTGGGTTGTCATCACTAATGTAAGAGCAGGTTACACAAATTGACAAGAAACACAGAACAGAAAAAGGCAAAGAATATAACAGAACAATTCACAGATGATGAAATACCATTAAAATGTTCAATCCCACTGACATATGGAAAAACATATTAACAGCAAAACAAGTCCAATTTTAGTCATCTAATCAATAAATTTT